AGAAGACCGGATAGATTTTATGAAGAGGTAGGTGACCGTTTGGGGGCGCTGTCATGAGTTCCCGTCCATGAAACAGGAGGCTCCGTCAGGTGCGGATCTGAACCTGGACACGATCGTAACGTTAGCCAGCAGCAGTAAATGTGCGGGCCGGGTAAGATTTTCGCACCAATACGTGCACTTGTACTGCGAGAAATACGAGCTAGGGCAAACATCTCGAGGCGAATGGAAAGAGCAGATTTCGTGTCCATCTGAGCTCATGCTCAGAAGCGAATTTTTGCTCAACTTTATACTACTTTAGTACAAAGTTGTTTGGGATGGGAAGAGTACAAGGTAAAACATTATTATTTTGTCCTCTTGTGCTTCTCCAATTTCCAATGCAAAGAACATGCAAGACCATGTACTTATCTGTAGAGAGCATGCAAGACAATGTACAATGCAAGCCGGTGCTTATCTGTAGAGAGCAGATGCTTAATTAGGCACCCTGTCATAGACATAAGCACTGGTGCTTAAGAAAAATACAGTTTATTTTATTAAGCACCCTCTAAACATCTTGCATTGTACATGGTCTAAGAAGGCGTGAACCCTTAGCATTATGACTTCATGTTATCTATTCTTTGTCATCACGCTTGCTTTTGGCACACCCTTTGATGTGACCCGACCTGCATTTCGAACAGTCAATGCGGGAACAAGTTCAAAAAAAGACAAAAACAGATTGAACAGATGCATGAAAGCCTCATTGTTTTATTTACTTCTCTTCTGATTCGAATTTTGTTGTCAAATTTACCTAAGGCGCATATAGGGCACATGCATGTTCTCCCTAGCTCTAGCCCACGGTACTATTTATTTTCTTCAGTCAGTACCTAGTGTTCATACGAAAGAAACAAAGCAAGCAGGCCATTCGCCTATTAATTAGCAAACATATCAATACTTCAGTTGCAACCATTAGAACTTCCAAGTCCTAAAGGGTCTAAAGTCTCAACTTTCAAATGTCAAAAACAGACCAAATGGATGTGCTGCTTTAAGATGAATCCTAGGAAAAAAGTCTGGAGGGTAAATAAGGTAATTTCTTGGCCAGCTTCAATATTTATAACATGCAACAGTTTCATTGATTTATAGCATGCTGTCATGCATACCAAGAATTCTACTACTACAAGGAGTCTTCCTGTGCACAGGTGCCATGACGATATGCCATATAATCAATGGGTTAATGCATGCCGGTGAATTTGATCTTGCGGTGGTACGTGGCACATGGCTGGCAATGTTGCAAGCACGCAATCCTACATGATATATGCATGAGCACTAATTGCACCTATGTACAAGATAACTTCACAAAAGACAAAAAAAACACTACTCCCTCTCTCTCAATTTACAGGGCGTGCGCGTACCCCTAGGTCGTCAATTTGACCAACCTAATACAAGTCATATATTACAAAAAATATACCAATATAAACTTCAGATGTTCTAATTTCAAAAGATATAATTTTTGTGTTATATAGTTTATATTAGGGTGATCAAATTGGCAACCTAGTTATACGCGTAGGACTTGTAAACTGAGACGGAGGAAGTAGCTGTAGCCGCGAGTGCATCGCTATCTTAATGCCGCAGCAAACACTCACCCTAGCCCCAATTGCATCACCACGTCTGCTCTTTTTAGGCACCAAACCTACATATGGATCTATCTTCAGGAAAGTGTGCCAACAACAAAACAAAGATGTTCAATTGATTTCTGTTAAGAAAAGGTATAGGACCGATTCCTTAACAAGGAAGATATATGGACGCTATTAAATACTTAATCACTTCCGGAAACAATGGCGGGGCAAGGATTTAACCAAGCCCAGTGCGGTTGCTGTCTCTGAGGCCTAATTTGGTCGGAAAGGTGAAGTTTCCCAGGGCACTAATCCACCTCGGGGAGATTTACATGATTTTGGTTGCGAGAGAGAGCGAGCGAACGAGTAGAGGGTTTTCTCCCCGACCAGTTGATACAAGGGATATCTACCCGGGGATGGGCCGTGGAAAGGTCAGGGCTCTTCCTCCCTCGCGCGAAACCAAACGGTGTTGTTTGCTTGCCCAGGGCGAACTCAATACGTGGTTTAGCCAACCGGGGAAAAGACAGGGATCCCTCGCAACCAAATGGGGCCTGAGTGAAGGGAGAAACCACGGAAGAAACACCCAGGGCCAACCTAAAATCACTAAAAACTTCTCAAAAGGAAAAGTATCCACCGCCATGGGCTCCAAGGCTTGCCACCACCCCTATCCTCGTGCATGTGTTTCTTGAAGGAACTGATTGCGCACATATTAATTTTTATTGAAGGAAGTAAATCCCAGACGAAACGCCCTTCGAATCGAAACCTGTAAGGGTTCAATCATGGATGCCAGGTTCTTCTTCAGATAATCGAATAGCTAGCAACCACCAAATCAATCGAGCACACGCGCGCGCACGAACCGTGATCTGGAGAATCCACATACTGCTATCAGATACGCTATGCAACAATCGAAGTAGGCGCGACACAAATACTTTAACTAAACCAAACAGATTAAGCTAACGGTAGGGCACCGACAGACGCTTCGGAATGGTGCGCTCACTGGGGAGGGAAGGCACGCCTCCCGGCCGAGCGACGTCGGGATCCCTCTTCTCTCTCATCGGCGGTCGCCACCTCGCTATGCGCCTCCAGCGAGTAGAACGGTGGGGCCCACGTGGGTTTGGGACGGAAACGAATGGGCTTGACTGCTCATGAGCTAAAAGTGGCCCGGACTGCCATAAATGAGCTATCAGCACGCTCGTGTAGGGCCGAAGGACCTCGAGGATCGACCTGGCAGCCAAGCTAAAAGGGTCATGTCAGGCCGGCCCTAAGAACAAACATTTTTATGAATCACAAATTTTTTTATTTAGCATGTCACCTACATTTTCTAAATTATATAAATCATTTTTTCACTGTATAAATACTTTTCGAAAATTTAAAAAAATTAAAATTCAGGAACATTTTTAGATATAAATTACATTTTTTATGTACGATTTTTTATTAATTATCAGATTTTTAAAATTATATAAATAATTTTTAAAATATCAAGTACATTTTTCTAAAACACGTGACATTTTCTAAATGTCACAAACAGTTTGGTTACACATTATTAATAAATTTCTATACATTATTATTGAATATATCAAAATATAATCAACAATAAAAATAAAGGGAAAAACTGAAACCATAAGATAATAGGTACATCGTTTGGATCTGATACAAAGTTGCACAAGATCTTGCATATTCTAGAAAAAAATTTATCAATTGGATGTGGAATGGCTGCTGAATGCCTACATCAAATTTATACTATGTCAATCATTTCTTACCTATGCACAATTTGACTGGATTTTGTTGTCATTGATAGAACAACTACAAAAGCCATATCTAACTATTCAAGATACACCCTTAATCCTATGGTTTCGTTTTTCTTTCTCTTTATTACTGGTCAATTTTTGTTCTAGATTGAGTACTCCCTTCTTTTGTTTAGAACACTACTTATTTTGTACATGGGGGTTGAATTGTTTGTTCTCATTTCATCCAAGAATCGCACATGTGAGTATACCTGGCCATCCGTCTTGCCAGGTCGGGCTTCGGGTCGTGCCTAACAAAGCCCCAAGTAGAAAACCTAGGCCTAAGTCTGGCCCGACCGTCAGGCCTAGAAATCAAGCCCAAGCCCCCCATCAATGAAAAAGCCTGCCGAGCCTCGGGTCGAGCCTCTTCCCTAAATCACAAATATGGTAGGCCCAGGCCCAGCCTGACCCGGCCTTCGGGCTCAAAACCTAGGCCCAGGTCTGGCCTGCATGCAAGATCGGGTTTGGTCGGGCCGGGTCAGGCCGGTCGGGCCCGGTATCCCATGGCCAGGTATATCTGCAAGTGATCAAACTCCAATTTAGGGCATCTAACAAGGTATTGTCTGGAACAATTCAAGTTCTTTTTTGAGAAATGGATGACTTTATACACTATATTGGTCCTTGCTAGTTACTACAAAAGCATTTTATAAATATTAATGGTTTCATTATTTGTGTGCTTAAGTTGCTAGCAGAGTTGGCACATATTTCTCTATATGAATTAAAAATTATATTCATGAAGCTATTTTAAAGGCTTTTGTTTCATCGAGTAAGAGGGACTGAGCTTCTGCCTTCCAATTCAATGGACATATAATATGTAGCCCAAAAAATCAGGAAAAAACAAAAAAAAATCTACATGGCATGTCTAGTCTGCATAAAATACCGCTAAACTTTGATTTGGTGAATTTGGGGTACAGTGTGGAAGGAATCTTTAAATTCGAGGTCAAAATATGACCGAATATCGACTTAGGGGTAATTTTTGTCACAAGGGTATATCTTAAGAGTAGAAAAATGGAATTATAACTCTTTAAAAAAATTGAGCAAGTATAACTTTTTAATTAAATAACAAAAGCGTCGTTTGGGGGCGATAAACAAGTTTTGGGCTACCTACAGTTGGGCCTCGCGCGTGTACTAGGCCCAACCTGATTCCTCGCGCACGCTGACTCTCAAACCGGCCGCCGCCTCCGCCGCTGATGGAAAAGGAAAACCTCCGACGCCTGGCCTTACTATCCTCTCCCGCTCCGGCTTCCACCACCCCGTCCTCGTCCACCCGTCATCTCCACGTGCACTGCCTCCGACATGTCTGGATCTCCTGCCGTGTGGCCGGAGCTGCCGGAGGACATCCTGATGGTCGTCCTCGCCGCCCTCGAGATCCCCGACCTCATGCGCGCCGGCTGCATCTGCACCTCGTGGCACTCCGCCTACACCGCCCTGCGCAGCCTCGGCAAGCAGAAGCAGACCCAGACGCCATGCCTGCTCTACACCTCTGAATCCGCCGGTGAGCATGTTGCGTGCCTCTACAGCCTCATGGAGAAGAGGGTCTACAGGCTGACCCCCGGAGCCGCCTCTCCGCCACTGGTTCATCATCGGGTCCTCATTGGGCTTCCTGGTCACCGTCGATGACAGGTCCGAGATGCACCTCGTCAATCCAATCACCGGCCAGCAGATTGCTCTCCCTTCAGTGACCACCATCGAGTACGTGAAGCCCATCTTTGACGAGTCACGTTCTGTCCACGAGTATGAATACCCAAGTCACTCTTCAAGAGAAGCTTTCTTCACGCCGTCGATCATGCCTCGTTGCAAGCTGAGGGAATACTGCTTCCAGTTCAAGGCGTTTGTGTTCCATGATGCACCCACAGGAAGCTACATCGTGGTGCTCATCCACAAGCCATTCACTCACATCTCGTTTGCAAGAGTAGGGGATGATAAGTGGACCTTGCTGCGACCACACTGTCACTACCGTGACTGCACCTACAAGGATGGGTTCTTGTATGCAGCGAGTTTGATGGGAGAAATCCATGCCTTCGATCTTAGTGGTCCTGCTGTTACAATGAAGATTATTAGGGGCAGCGACGACGATTTTGATCCCGATGCTGTACAGATCGTTCAGGCTCCATGGGGTGGTCTGCTGCTTGTTTCAAGATTAAAAGAGTTCGAAGATCCTGACCCTAAAGTTTCTGCCCTGAATACTATGGAAATTAAGTTACACAGAGTTGATGATGGCGCAGAGAAGCTTGTGGAAATTGATTGCTTGCCTGACCATGTGCTATTTCTTGGGCTTAACGATACACTTTGTCTCAGTGCCAAAAATTACCCTGCTCTCAAGGGGAATCATGCCTACTTTACTGACGATCAAGAGTACAATCAAAGACGTAAGAGTAGTCGTCGTGACATTGGAGTAGTTGACTTGGGCAATAATAGTAAGGAGGACCTTGTGTCTCCTCAGCTTTGATCCACTGGCCTTCTCCTGTGTGGATTACACCCAGTCTTACTATGATGAAACTGCCATCGAATGACCGTTGGCTCAGTGGACCGTTGCGTGGACTCCCGAAGATACAAGAGGGCACCTTGAGGGCTCTCTATACCGCCCTTGGGATCCCATTCAGCCTTGGTCCAACTGGCATGCTCCAGTGTTTGAAGAAGTAGGTCACTTAGGCGCTCGCCGGAGGGTGAGCTTGTTGCCTAGGCCCTAAGCTGTGGAAGACCATGTGCAGCAGAATATGAAATGGTGGCATCGAGGGCTGATTATTCAGGAGGCCGCATGATGGCATCATGCTGTCAAGGTATCATCTGTATCAAGTATTTTAAGTTTCATGAACGTGTCTCCTTCGTTATGTGTGGGACACTGAAACTTTATTGTGTCTTATTTGTGATGTGTGTGTGGTTGTGTTTCTTTTATGACTTGTGAGAAAGTCGGAGAAATAAGAACTTTGTTAGTAATTGTTGTGTTTGGTTTGTTGCGATTTGTCACTGGTGAACTTCTGACGATCACTGTAACGGTTGTCAAGCTGCTTTGTTGTCCTGCCTTGTTGCTGTTTGGGGCTGATGTACAGTTGTTCTTATGAGACTAGTCTTCTCTTACCGTTGTTCATTTATTCAGTTAATTTGACTTGTCGTCTGTGATGTCTGTGACTGCTAGCTTCTGTATGCAAGATATCAAGAAGCCAATGAAAAGAAGTCAATATTAAAGAGCTAGCAGGTATGAAATCTAAGCTGCTGCTGTTTTTAGTTATGTTGATGAATACTTGGCTGATATATTGTTGTTTCGTGTTTTATATGCCTGATATAGCTCCACTTAGAAGTTATTGGAATACATTTCATTAATCTGTGGCTTTATTATTATTATTATTATTATTATTATTATTATTATTACCACTATTTTTATTTTTATTTTAATTTTGTTGAAAGGCATCACATACGATAAACAAATACCAGCTTTCTAATGGTCTGCACCACAATAAAAAAGTATAGTGTGTCTTTGAGTCCTAGCTTATTTATATGAAAGAAATGTTGTTGGTAGGATCAAGTACTCTACCAGGTCTAGGGCGTAGGTGGTAAGGGAAGGATGGAGGGAGACGTGGCGAGGATCGGGCGCGCCGGCGGCAGGGCGCCGTCGCGGCTAGGAGAGGGGCGGCGGCTAGGGCTGTTGGCGGCTAGGGTTCCGGCTCCTCAGGGAGCCGGGCAATAGGAGATAATATTCTTCTTATTGCTTGCCTTCAAAAAAAGTCTTACAACCTATATTTATATTCTAGATAACTTGTAGAAGAATCAACCTAAGATAACTTGCCTAAGATAACTTGCCTAATCTGAAAATAAAAACTAAGATAACTTGCGGCCTAAGCCGGCCGGCCATAACACTTCTCCCCGCCTGCACAAACAGCTCGTCCTCGAGCTGCAAGGTGGGGAAGCGCTTGCTTGAACTCTTCGAGGTAATCAACCAGTGTCAAACACCTTCTTGACATCTGGGGCGGCCAGGTCAGTGGCGACGACGTCCTCCGGAATGTAGTCTGCCACCTCCAGGTAGAAGAGTCGCGGGCAGGCGTGGCCGGGCTTGTAGGGTTCGTCGCAGTTGAAGCACAACCCTTGGCGGCGACGCTCGAGTATCTCAGCTGGGGTGAGCCGGCGGAACGGGCGCCCCGCGGTTGCGGCAAGGGGTGCCGCAGAAGCCTGCACAGGCCGACCCTGCGCGGAATCCGGTCCGGGTAGCGACCCAGTAGTCTGGGACGATGATTCCTGCTGGATGGCCACCGCGCGGCACTCGAACGCGTGGGCGTAATACATGGCCGACTGGAGATCCTGGGGTCCCCGAAGCTCCACGTCCATGCAGATATGGTCCGGTAGACCGCCCACAAATAACTCGGCACGCTGAGTGGCGGAGACGCCCGACGCGTGGCACGCCAGGGCCTGGAAGCGGTCGGCGTAGTCCTGCACCGTGGATGTGAAAGGTAAGCGGCCGAGGGCCGCCAGTCGGCTCCCGCGGATAGGAGGCCCGAACCGGAGGAGACAGAGCTCCCGGAAGCGCTCCCATGGTGGCATGCCGCCCTCGTCCTGCTCGAGGGCGTAGTACCAGGTCTGTGCTGCGCCTCGAAGATGATAGGACGCGAGCCAGGTGCGATCCGAAGCGAGCGTCCGCTGCCCTCGAAAGAACTGCTCGCACTGGTTGAGCCAGTTGAGGGGGTCCTCCGTGCCCTCGTAGGTGGCGAAGTCCAGTTTGGCGAAGCGAGGGGGTGTCGGCCCGCCGTGCCCGGGGGCGGCCGTAGTTGCCGCCGGCGCGTATGCTGGGTCGGGAAGCGCCGGGGCGTAGTTCGCCGAGCTGGAGGGGTGATCAAACCGCAGGGAGGGCGTCGGGTGTTCCGGCGCCGTGGAGTAGACCGGCCCCGAAGACGAGCCGGTCGCCCAAGCGGGGATCGGCGATGGTGACGGTGGAAACTGCACCTGGTGCAGGGGCCGACCCGTAGCCCTAGGCGCAGGTGGTGGTACTGTCGATGGCGGCGGCGCCTGGTGGAGCTGCACCGGCGCCTGCGGCGTGGGGGCCGGCGGTGACGCCGGAAGAAGCTGCTGGGTCTGGCCCTGCTCCGAGGCGCCGGTGCCCAGGTTAGGGCTGGGCGGGGCCGGTGGAGGACCCTGCTCCGAGGCCGCTGGAAGGTAGGGTGCGAGGGAGGACGGCGCGGCCGGCGCGGTCCAGGTGGGCCACTGCGGCCCCGTGGTGGCGAGAAGTGGCGGGGCTGCCGGCGCGATCTGCGGCGGCCACTGCGCCCAAGGCGGCGGTGCGGCCGCTGGGGCGGGGAGCGCCGGGTAGCCTCCGGTGACGGCCCCCGGTGCCGAGTACCACGGAAGCGCCTGCTGACCCGCGGCCATGGCTGGATGGAGTCCGGTGATGGCCCCCGGTGCCGAGTACCACGGAAGCGCCTGCTGACCCGCGACCATGGCTGGATGGAGTGGTGGGGGCGGCTCGTACGGACCTGCCAGGTAGAGGCGGATCCCTTGAACCGCGGTGACGAGGTCGTTGAGGACGCCCGCCATGGCCTCCGGCGTGAACTGTTGCGGCTGCGGGGGAGGTGATGGCGGCGGCGAGTGTTGGACGGGGGCCTGTGGCTGCCCTTGGCCCGGCGTGGTGCCGGGTGCCGTTAGGACCGGCGCTGAGAGCGACGCAGTGGTGCCCGCCGAGAGCGAGGCCGTGACGCCCGGCGCAGAGGCGGCGGTGGTGGAGGAGTTGGCGGGCAGCGGTGGTGGTGGCGGTGGAATTGGCGGAGACATGGTCGAAACCCGGTTACCTGATACCAAATTGGTAGGATCAAGTACTCTACCAGGTCTAGGGCGTAGGTGGTAAGGGAAGGATGGAGGGAGACGTGGCGAGGATCGGGCGCGCCGGCGGCAGGGCGCCGTCGCGGCTAGGAGAGGGGCGGCGGCTAGGGCTGTTGGCGGCTAGGGTTCCGGCTCCTCAGGGAGCCGGGCAATAGGAGATAATATTCTTCTTATTGCTTGCCTTCAAAAAGAGTCTTACAACCTATATTTATATTCTAGATAACTTGTAGAAGAATCAATCTAAGATAACTTGCCTAATCTGAAAATAAAAACTAAGATAACTTGCGGCCTAAGCCGGCCGGCCATAACAGTTGTGATGTCCCATTTCGTGTCTGGCTACATGGTGATATGGTGCGGCGCTTGCAGATGGTGTCGCAGCGAGGTGGGTTGGACCAATAAGGTAGAGACGAACAAAAATTCGGCTCGAGGCAAGAAAATTTGCATGCTTTTGTGCAAAGAGGTGATACCTTGATAGAAGATCTGAAGCTACCACCAACCAATAGTGAGCGTTCTGATAGTGCATGAGAATCTTGGAGCGAAGAATGTCAACCTGAGAACAAGAAGATGACCAGAGGAAAGAAAGGGAGCAAAAAACTGCTCTGGCACCCTACTTTTTCTACTGGTCTGTGCTGTACTGATACTGATCGTGTCGCTCTTGCTAGCGTCTTTCTGTCTGTATGCAGGTTGTTCTACGATGTGCATTGGCTTCAGTGTAAATTGCGAGTTAAAGTGGTGTAAAGGTTGAGAAGTTGTGTCGATTTAGTCGAAGCCATAGTGACAGTTTGCTGCATTGTACATTCTGAATGTTGACATGAATACCATGATAGTTTTGTGTTCAGTGTGGAAGCTGAAGCGTAGCAGATTATATACCTTGCTGCCTTTTCTGAAGGACCCCTGAATTACTAATAGTTTCACTTTTTTACAGCGTAATATGCAGCCCCGTCGGTGAACTACTGAAGAAGAAAAAAGTGAGCAACAACCAATCATCTTCAAAACATAAAGAAACTGGGTCATTGATAAGTGCATTTCATATATATAATTTGGCACTCAAATTTAGCATCTATCGTGATATATCCATCCATTCTTGCTATAAGTTGTGATATATTTGAATGAAAATCATATAAAAGATCATTTACTTGTCATTTGTTTATTTTGCAGAAAAGTGCGATAAGGCACTATAATCTTGAAGATCTTGTCTACAAAGAAAGAGGATACAAGACCGAGGGCCAATAGAAGAGAAGGGGGACTCGAGTATGAAGAATTAAAGAAATGGAGGGCCAAAACTAAAGAAGAAAGGGATCTATTTGAGGCTAAAGAAGAGAAGAAGGAGGGCAAAAGTGCAAAAATGCAGATCTGGGAGGGGATCAAAATCCCTAGCCGCATCTCCATTGCAATCGGGCCTGGCACACAAATCTCTCCCTCACCCCTCCTTCTCCTACTCCGGCCGCCGCCACGGCTAGGCCGGCGTGGTGGCGCGTCATCAGCTCCTCCCCACGCTTCCACCAGCTCCACCGCGCCATCTCCACCAGCTCCACCGCGCCATCTCCACCACCCACCACACGCCACCAAATCCATCCACCATCGCCACCATCTCCAGCCACCGCCGCACCTCGCGCGCCCGACCAGACAAGAGGGTCACGGGCGTCT